AGCGAAAGTTAGCTCCGCGAATAGCTATCCAGGTTCCGTCCATCTCAGGGCTGTATTGATAATCTCTTTACCTTGCTCTAGTTGTCCGTTGCAATGAGACTAGACCTTAACGTTGTGCGACGGTTTGCGTACCTCCTTGACCCATTGAACTATACTGGGTGGCGCCTTCGGGTCCCTTGAGAGCTATTCCTACCAGGTTGATCAATGGTTAGAGGTCAGATAAACTCAGTCTCCTGGTCCTCCAGGTTGGGGTTTGAAATGGGATGGTGTCAATTTCTGTAAAACGAAGTCATTGCTGCCTCCTCGCTGCCTTGCAGGCAAGCTTTTGAGTCAAAAGCTTTGGTTGAGGACCATAATCGTCCTAATAGTATCTCAATCTACATGCAACAATGACAAGTTCCTCAAAATTTAACTACGTCCTGCATCGACCGTCGCGCAGATTAACACGAGTCGCCTTAGCTGCTGCATACATCAGGGCGGACAAGTGAAAACGTGCTACTGCTGGCGTCTCCTTTTTCACTTTTTTCTCTTAATCCCATCCGGACCCCATTACTAACCTCCTTTCTATTATTCCCACCTTAATTGACAGCAACCGAAGTTCCACTGGAGTTGAACCATCTGCAGCTACCTTCCCACAGCACCCACCGGACGCCTATCGGCAACAGTCCCCTGTAAGGCCACGCTCTCCCGTTTCCCTGGCGGCGTTCAACGTTCGCAGTTTAAGCCAAATAAGTCAACAGGCTGCACTCGCACGCCCGTTAGACACACTGGGTATTGATGTACGTTGTGTCCGCAACTAGAATCAATGATGCTAATGGATTGATAACTTAACTGCGCTCGGCGTGTCCTATCGCTATTGGTTGCACTCATTCGGAGACGCTGATGCAACACCCACGGATCAAGCTGGGGTAGGTATCATTCTCAGCTCCGAGGCTGAGTGATTATTGGTTGATTGGATTCCGGCGAACAGCCGTTTATGTGCAGCCCGTTTGACGACATTAGCTAAGGTTGATTCACGAAGTAGTGCAAAACGCTGTTTGTTTGTGATTTCCGCTTCCGTTCCCACCGGCTGCAGTTCTGATGCTGCCGGTTGCACATTCTATCACTAACTGAACGCGCTGGTACACAGTGCTACTAGTTCACCTATCATAGCACTTGCAGGGGATATGAACGCACAAGTAGGGCGTATGTGCTCTTCGTAAGCTCAGCTAGGGGGTAATTATGCGCTTAACTCCGAACGAACTGACAGCGGCGAGCGTCTGCTGCAACTCTGTGCCGAGCACCAGCTTTTGTTTGTAGCACTGCTTTCAGACACAGTGGGCGCCCCAGTCCCACTTGGCGTCCTCTTGTAATTTGCCAGTGTTGGACCCAGATAGACCACTTTGCTATAAGTTACAGGTGGCGTGGTTCCATCTTGGATTGCCGCTCTTTCTGGAATACCTGCGTCGACTCTGTTCATGCCTTTGTATGCTGTCGCTTTTCCACGATCTTTACCGGGAAGCGCACCAATCGTCACTCCGTCAGCAGGCTTAGGTTAGTCTGGTAATGCACCAGACGCCGGCGTTCCGACCTTCTGGGTCTCGTCAGTTGTGCGCCTCCCATCGAACTCCTGCCGAGTTCTGCCCCCATGATTTCAGGATGCCGGACCCGGCAGGGGTCCGCTGGGAGCGCACCGCTGACTAGACTCAGAAGGTCGAAACGTCAGCCTCTGGTGCTTTGCCAGACTAGCCTAAGCCTGCTGATTGGGAGTGACAATGAGGAATTAGCTTAATTATACCAAAATCCTCACTACTATTCATAAGTAACTGAGAAATTGTCTCAGTCCTCGGTCACGCAAGCCTATCAAGAAGCACTGTATACCGAACTTCCGCTGTCTTGTCCTAATGACACTGCGCTTCAGTGGAATAGGATCTCGACCACCATGCACTACGCAGGAACATTGCTTGTGATCATATCAATCTTCACCGCACCAATCACTGGATATCCGAGAGGTCGGTGAACCTGTTTGAATCCGAAAACAACCTCCGGGCTGATTCTGAGCACAATGTGACCAGACGGACTATTAGGCGCGAACTAAAGCGGAGCCCACATGCTGACAAGGAAGCCTGGTGGATCATTCGGGCTCAAGAAATGGAGGAGGCAGGAGCAGTAGGTAATTACCGCAAGCTCGTGTAGCTGACCCGCACCACTCGTCCCAGGAAACCAGGCGTCAGTGAGACCATCAGCGACAGCGCGGGTGCACTGGTACACATTATGGAACACCGGATGGCTCGTTGGGCGAAACACTTTCTAGCTCAGTACATCTGACCACTTGCTGCCGGACCATTTCCTACTCAGGTTATGCAGGCCGAGCCTTGGCCGGTTAGTTTAGAGCCTCCGTCGGAGGCCGAGGTCCGAAACACGATCACAGCCCTCAATCGTTTTCGTGCCGCTGGCCCGGATTCCCTCCCACCTACAATATTTAAGGATGGAGGTGAGGTCCTCTGCAAAGCACTGACCTCCCTATTCGAACATATCTGGAAGGAAGAGTGTCTCGGTCAACTGGAGTGAATCGATTGCAGTGGCAATTTACGAGAAGGGCAGTCGCACAGGCTGTGGTAACCACAGGGGTATTAGCCTAGCGGCAGTTGTGACAAAATTACTGACCTCGATTCGCGTTCGTCGCCTCACTGTGGAACGGGAATCTCGGTTTAGGGAAGAGCAGGCAGGTTTCCGCCCTGGACGTGGCTGCATAGACCATATATTCACTCTGCGGTAGGTGCTAAAGCAGCGCCATGCAAACCGCGGACCGATAATAGCTGTGTTCCTCGACTTCAGGAATGCGTTCGATTCAGCCGATCGATTCATTCTGTTCGAAATACTTTACTGAAGATGTGTTCCCACGAAATATGTGAACATCTTATGTGTTCTGTACTCGCACACTACTGGCCGCGTCATGGTCTACGGTGATCTGTCGGATAGCTTTCCGTTCACAAATGGCTTTCCTCAGGGTTGTCTGATCTCCCCGTTTTTGTTTAATTTCGTCGTGGGCTCCATCTTGAAGTGTTCCCTTGCGGAATCTCATGATGTAGGCGTCGTGGTCCTGCGTGGTGAAAGGTTAGTTGATTTTGTTTATGCGGACGATCTCGTTTTGCTTTTTGACTAGGTTGCGGCGGCACAATCAACCTTGGATAGCCTCTCTGGAGTGGTCCCATTATTTGGTATGCGCTTCACACTTTCAAAGTGCAAGGTGTTGCTGCATGACCACCAGCCACTTGACGATCCCTTGATCCTTGATAACGAGGAACTCGAGGTGGTCGATCGATTCACTTGCCTTGGCAGCTGCAACAGCAACCATGGGCGCATAGAAACTGAAGCGAGTTCGCGCATTGCAAAAGCCTAGGACAGTTTTGTCGACGGAAAGGAGTTTCTATCCGCCTATAAGGCCTTGTTTACACGAGCACGTTGAGGGCCGTCCTAATCTATGGGAATGAGACTTGGCCCCTTCGGTCTGAAGATCTGAGGGACATTCCATCTTTGATCATCGTTGTCTTCGGAGCATTGCTGGTGTCGGTTGACACCAACGTTTCCGCAGCGGTGATGTGCATATGCGAATACTATGCTGTGATAACCAAGCTAGTTCCTTAGAACAACTGATCACACTGAATAAGTTGCGTTGGCTTGGGAATGTGCTACGTATGCCTAATCACCGCTTACCTAAGGGGGCGTTGTTTAGTCTGCTAGGTGTAGGATGGTGCAAGGTTCGAGATGAACAGAACTTGACTTGGCAGCGTTAAATGAAGTCAGTTTCCGGGCTGGCGTCCACGTGACCCGCCTTGTGCTTGGCTCATGACTTTCAGGACATGACTCGCAGCCGACACCAGTTTCGCGTCTGCTGCCGTCTACTAGTCGGACTACCTGTTTAAAGTGAGGTAATGGGTGATTATGGTGCGTGGCATTGAAAACCTCAAGGAAAGTGTCTCGCTGATGTCGCTTTGTCTTTGCACGATAGCCAGCTGTTTATGACGGTATGTTGTTAACACATGTGTAGGCACCCTAAGCCTGAATGTTTGCTTAGGGTATTCAGGTTTTCCGATAAGCCCCTTTCTCCCTCTCTTGTTATTCTTTATTCTTTACGTCATTATGGCAGCGAAACATCAGTTCAACTGGCTGATGTGCTGCTGTTGATTGATTGTTTGCTCTAGTTGTTGGAGCGGCCATCTCATTGGGACGGGTCTGTACTCGTGTTCATCAACACCAAAGGTATCTTCGATTCATCAGATCAATGCGTTTTCTTTTGCTGTCCGATTAGAAAAGATTTACTCGAGAAATCCTAAATATAATAGCATTCTACGTGCGTCCTTCGGGCAGAACTGATGCTGCAGGCCGTCATTGTATTTGATAGTGTCAGACAAAGGTGTCTAATATCACCTTTCCTTTTTCACCTCACCATTGACCGAGCTGTGAGAACTGCATTCCAAGTGACTAACTTCTCAACCTGGGGTTTGCTTACAATATTACCATCATCTGACAGCTCACGAGCATGCCAATTGGACCTGGACAGGTCGGCAATATGTTGGTGCGCCGCATTATCGCTTCACTGCCACGCGACCACCACCACCAGTCTCGCTCGGGCTAACGATACTGCGAAGTCGTTTGTATCTTCGATTTACATATCAAACGTTTCATTTTTCCGGTCTACTGGATAGATTAACATTGATTGTCAATCGTTTTGGCTCAATTTTTACACTCCAAAAGCAAAGCATTTTTCCGCGACTGGTGGATGAAATGCACCAGCCCGTAGCCTTAAGGATCACTTGCCTGCTTTGCGATCCAAATGCGCGAGTTCGAGCCTGCCTAGGGACCGGGTGACCATCGCAGTATCCTTAACTTGCGTGCGACTAGTGGTGGTTGCGTGGTAAAGAAGCTTGGATATGGCGTACCGGTGTCACGCTGATACTTTCTAGGTAGATTGCACGCCGATGAACGATGATGACTGCCTTGATTTCCTCTCCGTTCCAGCTCATTCGAGTCTTCAGAGTCACATTTAGCATCCCGCATACCGCAAATGGTCTCTGCTACAGACGCTCCTCTCGGCATCAATCTTCGCCAGTCTAATATCCTCCTCTTCGAAGGTGACAAGCAAGTTGACAATGGATCGGTATCGATAACTGAGAGGTAGGTTTCTCGCACTGACTTCTCCAGTTTAACCCCCTCGCACACGGACAAAGGGTTTTGATCCTAAAAATTATTCTTCACGCAGATAGTGATACGTTTGATCTTCTAACATAGTTAACGGAAGATTTTGACAGTTGCAAATGAGAGTATGTGTACCTATGTACACACTTTGGCTCAAGCTATCAAAAGTACCAAAATGAAAGGCTAGAAGTATATTGCTATAAGTCTTGTTATTACTTGCTGTGAAATGTTATGTAACAGTTTTTTTCTTTGTGCAGCGAAGAAAAAGGTTGTCTTTAGTACACTTGAATCTGCTGCGTCCTTTGGAACCATCAAACTTGCAGCTCTATCCTAAATCGTTGATACAAACAGGAAGATGGTCAAGTCTATCATATCTGATAAGCAACTGGTCTCTCTATAGGCTTTGCACGTTTTGTAGGGGGGTAATTAACAGCCTTAGCAGTTGTTGTTAAAGCATTGCCAGATTCTGTGACTGAAGTAGGATATGCTTGGTCTTCCCACAGGGCTCCAGGGATTTGTTGTGATCAGGTGTATTTTCATGAAAATGTTAGCAACTTCACTTCTGAAATAGAATAGATCCAAGATGTTATTTCTTGGTGTGCCATTTACAATTTCAATGTCCCAATACTTCAACCATGCATTTACAAGTACAAAGTGCAAAATCACACGTACAGTCCATTTTCTTTTTGTGGCCTTAACTCAGCACAATTAAATAAGAAAATCTGGCTTATCCACGCCTCCTGTATTTTCACTGTAAGTTTTGATACATTTTACTCTGCTCACTTGAATGAATTCCTTTTTGCTATCACTCCGTCGACGTACACTATCCATCACTTGAATGCCCGCGAAACTGGACGCAACACTAGCAGCCCTATTGTTCATCCAACTGACTACATAGATATCTACTTCTGTCAAAAGATCCTCCATCGTCCTTGCGAAGATCTTTTTCTATAATTTCAGAAAATATCCCATTAAACGATTACCTTTCACAGTACCTGTAGGAGTGATTACCTTGCATTTTCACTTCCATTATAAGATTCGGCCCAGTGAAGTAGTTGTCAGAGTAAAGCCTACAATTTTTCTGTTGAGGGATACTTCTAACAATCTCAGAACCATTGACGCATCAAGATCCAACCGTTTTGTGTCTGCAGAGACACCTGTTCCTGTGCCTTGATAAACTTCAATGTCGCCTCTCTGATTCGTGGTTGGCGGCATCCGGTTTCGGAGTTGCCTGTCACTGTGGCCAGCCACAGGACGCCTGCACCTACAGAGGGACCATGGGTGGCTTGCGCTGCACCACCCACAGCTCCAATCACACACCCCATATGCAGTATAAACCTGAAGGAATAAGACCGGGAGACAGGTGGATGGGGGCCACGTTTCATCAACGGATCCGGCCCACACTCCTTCACAGGCAAACACAAGCACTCTGTATTTGGGAATCAATCGCACACAAGGCGGTGGCTGGACCTTAGTCCGCTCTTCACTGAGTGCATGGAACCACTCTCCGCGCCTAGCACGACCACAAGAGCCGTGCACCCCATCCCCTCCAGCAACGACCAACTGTCTCCTGGAGCCAATATGGACGAGGTAGTGGGTAATAGACAGCAAGCAACATCCAATCACTTGAAATAACATCATCAAACAAGGCATCATGTTAAAGCATTCGGCTATGCAGACATAACACTTCGCTAAATTCGCATTTGAAGTTAGCTGGTTAGCAAGAAATCGTGATAAATACAAAAGCCCAGAAGTTGCTTAAAGATACTACAAACGCAATAAATTTAGCGAAGATAAGCGCAATTAGCGTAAACAACGTATGCAAGTTCATAGATGATTATTCAGGTAGGCAGAACAAACCAAATAGAGTGGAATGAAATTTATCCAGCTTAAAAAGATCTAGTGTAAGTTTATTTAGCCCAACTACGGTGAAGAAGCATCGTGAATGCATCAGCCTCAACATTCCCATCATCAGTATACACCTTAGCTAGTGGTGGAAAACACCTCAGCTACTGTGCCGCAATACTTAAGAAAAAAAGAAAAAATACCTGCAACTGGTGCACGCTGGCTGATCTACCATTGAGGGATGGGGGTCGTTTTGGAAAGCTACCAGCCAGACTGCTATGCAGCGAAAGAGTAAGCAAAATTTGTACTATACTGAGAAATGAGATTGCGAATAGTGGGATGAGGAGGGACAAAGAAAATCACGAACGCCACTAAGGCCGACTCCTAGCTGCCAGCAAATGTATCCAGCCAAACGTGTTCATCGTCTTTCGCACCTCAACCAGGAAGCCGAAAGGTTCCAACCAAGGCTAGTGTCGAAGTAATAGCCTTCATTGCTCTCAACCAATTCATCGCTTGACCGCCCCCTTCTTCCATTCACTCCCGGCGCACAAACAGCGCATCTCACGGGAGTCAGTGGGCTGACATGCGTAACACGTGGTCCGGTCATCGGAGCCTTGTGCGTGAAATAGCGGTGCTGAGCGTCTCGTTTCTGTAAGGGAGAGTAAAATCCTCCTGGAAAATTCATTAATTCAATGGGAAAACAAGCTGAGCCAATGCTGTACAACCGAAACATCAAGTGACTTTTGGAACGTTCGCATCAACCTACCCAATCACGATAGCTGACCGAGCTGTTCTGCTACTTAAAACTTCCTTGATCGCCTTGTAAAAATGTCCGTTAATTTCACACTACTTTTACCCGTTTCGGTAGCTGGTTCCGAAACACGCTTTTGCTTCCAAGCGTCGACTTCTGATTTTCGACTGGTGTTCGGAGCTAACAGAGAACGTGTTCACTTCAACCGGAATCGCGCAGACTATCGTAACAAATGGCGACGGACAAAGGTGGCAATGCAGTGAATTTTTCCGCAGACCAATTTCAAATGCTGCTACCGCAACACTAGGCACAAATGAAGCTAATCCAAACCTTGACTCAGCGACTCAGTTTGCGGTCTTCAGAAACAGCTTCGCGAGACACACAAGCAAGTCTAGTTGATCTGCTCTGCAATTCCATTACTGAATTCAGTTATGGTCCTGATTCCGGAAGCGCTTTCGATGCGTGGTTCAGACACTGGGAGGATATGTTCCAAACGGATTTCAGCCGTCAGTGCGACTCCTGGAAATTGCGACTGCTGCTCCGTAAACTGGGCACATATGAACATTCAAGATTCATTGATCACAGATCGGTAAAACAGCCGAAAGGTGTCCGTTTTACCAATGCGATGTCACAACTTAGCACAATTTAGGTTAAGTGGTCATCATTGTTCAGCATTCGCTATCAGTGTCTGAAACTCGTCAAGCGGGACACAGACGGTTATGGGGCGCTGGCAGACATGGACAACCATGAGTATGAATGCTCCAATCTGCACACTTGGACAGCTGATGAATTCAAGTGTCTCACATTTATCGGTGCTTTACATTCCCCGCAGGATGCCGAGATCCGCACAAGACTGCTCCCAAAGCTGGATCATGACCCAGAAATGGCGCTGAAATCCCTCACGGCCGAGTGCAAACGGTTAATCACTTTGAAACGTGACACCACCATGGTCGAGAGTTCTTCCGCACAACCACGAAATATCCATGCCGTGAGAGCTTCTAAACGAAACAGTGCTGACAATCCCGCTCAGAAGTCACGGAACAGACCGTCTTCTGCCAGTTGATCATGCGGTGAGTTACATTTAGCCCGATTCTGTCCATTCAAGAAGCATATTTGCCAGAAGTGCCATAAGCGGGGCAACAAGGAAGAACTCTGCAAGTACTCTCGACCAGTGCACACAAGTTCGTTCCACCCCTAGACGACGGTCAAAAATACCGTTACAGACTCCCTGTCAGTCGTTGCCGCTTTCCAGAGTGAGTTCGAACCCCTCAGACGGGATTCGTTCCAGGTTGCATTTTGACACGGCTTCTGATATAACTATCATTTTCTAGGGCACATGCTACTACATCAAGCGACTGGCGGTTCCTGCTTCTGACAAATTGACTCGCAATGCATCTGACGGGGTGCTGAATCTGGTTGGGGAAACACCTGTGAAATCGCTTCTAACGAGGTGGAAAAGACCGGAAAATGCTATCTAACGGACCGACCGAATCCAAACCTTCTTGGAATCAACTCGATCGAGAGGTTAGGACTCTTTGATGTCCCTCTGAACCAGGTTTATGACCGTTCTACACCGAAGCTTCAAGCGCCAAACGGAGTGTCCCCAACAGAAGCGAGGAGCAAACAGCTCCGAAAACCATCTTATACATTTTGACCAGTTCCTGAGTCCTCATACGGCGGAAGGAACCGGAAAATGGAGCAGGGATTCCATCAGCGGCCTGGAGCAAAGCAACGCTAATTCAAGCCCTTAGGTCCAGTGTTCGCGCTTGACTATCTTAATGGCCATGCAGCATGAACTCCAGGTGAGGTCGAACGCAAACATGGAGGCGTCATTTACGATCTGCTCATTGAATCATAAACCTAGGTCCGCTATGCAAATCAGTTTCCCTCAACGCTGTGCCGGCTAGAATCAAAGATGCCTGCCATGCTGCCTTTCGACCTCCTTGTGGATTATTTCAGCCTACCGAAACCGGACAAGGAGGGTCACAGTCAATCTAGCGGTGCACTCGATTCTCCCGAGCCAACTTCGAGGACACTTCAATCCAGGTGATGGACGGACAGAGAGAGAACACCGCCTTCAAGACTGCAAGTCAACCCGAGGTCATCCCCCTCCATCGCAGCCGCAATCTCAAGAGGAGAAATTTCAGGGTGAGTAAAATCTCCCTAGCAAACTCAATACTTCAGTGGGAAAACAAGCTGAGCCAATAGTGTACAATCGAAACATCAAGTGGTTTCAGGAACGTTCGCTTGAGGAACGTTCGCGTCCATACGACGTTCGCATCAACCTTACCATTGGCTAGAGGAATTAATCTACCAATCAGGACAGTTGACCTAGCTGTTCTGCTAAGTAAAACTTCCTTGGGTTCGACTTATAAAAATGCCCGTGCATTTCACACTACTTGTACCCGTTTCGGTAGCGGGTTCCGCAACACGCTTTTACCTCCAAGCGTTGACTCCTGATTTTCGGCTGGTGTTCGGAGCTAGCAGAGAGCGTGTTCAGTCCAACCGGAATTGTGCAGGCTGAGGTAGATCATAACAGTTTCCTTTTCCTGTACCATAAACAAGACGTCGAACACGCTGGTTGCTCACACGGAGTTTTCACCAGATATGAGCCAAACTGCGAAGGCACGGTGGTCGAACGTACTTAGCCTCCTTATGTCTGCTGGTCTAATGGTCCAGGTTTCAGAGCCTTAAAGGAGACTTGAATGGACAGCTGCATTTTACACTCTACGCTTCATGGAGAGAGTGACGTCGCGCCGGCGCCACAGGTGGCGAAGGTTAGCACAAACGTTTGAACGACTTCCAGCTGATCTCTACCAAGTGTCAGCGTAGGAGGTGGTCCTTGCCAATCTTGGAGGAAAACTTTGCAGTTTGTGGGTACAAACCATAGCTCGAAACGGCTGACAGCTGGTGCTGATTTGACCAAGGCCGTTTGAGACGTTTGCGAGCTGTCACAGATATCGTAAGCATATTCCAAGTCATGAACTCGTTCGCCTGGGAGCAGCTCCACATCTTAGTCATGTCCTGGCTTTGTCAATGGTAAAGTTGAAAAGGTGACAGCGCGCATCCTTGTCTCACACCGCGGGACACACTGACTTGCGATGACAGCTTGCCGTAAGCCACTACTGTGCTCGATCTGCGCGCGTATAATATTTACACGCGTATAATATTTACATATTTCTCGGGCACACCTTTCCTTAGCAGACTGTCCCAAAGGGCACATCGATGAACCGAATCGAATGCGCCTTTGATATCGAGGAATACGACTACGTTGGGTCGCCAGTGTATTTGACGGTGCTTTAGCAATTATAGCGAAGGGAATGTGTGGTCGGTGCATTCCTGACTTCGACGAAGCCCGGCTTGCTCTTCAAGCATCTGGCATTCATGATTGCCAGTCAGTTTGTGAAAGATTACGGAGGCAAGTAATTTGCAGGCCATGGGGATCAGATTGATTCCTCTATAATTGCCGCATTCCGATGGTTAGCCTTCCTTGCTAATTGGAACTATAACGGAGTGGCTCCAATCTGTCGGGACAATTTTCTGCTCCACAGTTTCACTAGCAAATCATATAAATCATCTACAAGAGCTTCCGGCATCATTAATATGCAGGCATATTTTACTAACGCGTCATCGGATTTTCCCCGGTTCCCTGTCTCGTATCCTTTTGCGCCATCCTGATCCACGCTTCCTGCGGTTCGCCGAGGCTGTGGCGATAAACAGGCTAAGACCTACCTTGTGTGCAAGCAAAAACAATCACATGTTGACTTCCGGTTGCCCTGGCTCTAGAACCATTGCTGCATTGGTCTCACTTCATTTGAACTGCATATACATACTTTATTATATTGATACTGATGAAACAGTATGCAATGCGCGCACCTACCAGTGTTCGTCTTCCCTGCGTGTCATTTAGAACAAGATCGTTTATTACCGGGCTCGTGCACATCGAAGTAGGTCGAAAGAATGGAAATCGGATCCACTGCCCGTCTTGACACTATATTTCATTTAGAAGGTACGGATGTAGTCCACTTTAAACTGGTATTGAATGTTCACAGGTCTCTGAAGTGAAGATTATTCATACAGAGTGTTTACAGTGTGTATCGCCTTTCCCACTTAACCGACTTAATGAACTCTTGCGGAATTGACGTTTCCGCTAAATTATTTAGAAACTACGAACACGTATATGTTCCGGCCGATTTTAGACACACTACTCGTATACACTATCCTATGACTATAGAAGATGAACCGTCAGCTTTTTCACTTTTGTGGTCCAGTGAGTCGTTTTTCGCAATCATTCTCGTGGACATTGCGTTCAACTCACACACCACCCATCCCTTTTTCCCTTTTTCCTCAGTTCGTTTTCTTGGGAGGGCCAGACACATCAGTTCTCTGTTCCGTATCATCAGATCACCCTGCACGCTGTTTCTAAAACCTCTTCCATGACATCCGGGGATATGTTTTCAAACTCATCGGCATTCCCACATCCACATCTACTCATCATGATAGACGGCGATCGTTTGTGGAGCAGTCCCTCTCCGCACCACCAAACAGTAGCCAACGGAGACGAGCCCATGTTGACAGACAATATGGATGATTCCGATGGCGACGTGGACGGCGACTCAGAGGATCGCGCTTCGGATTGTCCAGGTGTAACTACCTTGTTACGCTTAGTCCCCTCTGACCCCGCCGTACTGGATACCATGTATTCTGTTTTATGTGAATGTCAGGCGCTCAATCCAGACCTCTCTGACGGACTTTCGGAATCGGATTTGGAGCAGCTGGATGAGACCGAAGAAAATGAGTATGTTGATGGAGGTGAGGTTATGTGCGCATGTCTTTACTTACTTTTTATCGTCGGGAAGTGTACTTTATTCATGCCTCCCAGCATTGCTCTTTACGGACATTGACAGTCCGTTTCCTCCTCTGGACTCCACTTTTCTTTGTACTACAAAAATTAGTTGGTTATCTTAGAGATATACAACAGCGGACCATTAAATTGAAATACACCTAGCTTGAGGTTTTTTAATATCTTATCATGAAAGCGTTATATCGCGTTTGTATATGATTTAAGTGTGGAACCCTCATGTTCAACGTCTGTTTCTATATTCCTTATTTCTTGACTACACTGTGTGCTGGTCTTGCGATTTCTGCATGCGATCCTGGAGCATGTCAGCTTATATTTTCAGTATCCTACATTTTCATGACCAAAGTTCCTATTTAACAAGTCTCATTGTTCATCCCTGATCTGCTTTGGATCAATATTCACCTTCTAGGTGTGTACTTTGTTTCGCATTAGTTTTGTTGTCCGCTGTGACCATCTTGTGACACATTCTCCCCAGCCCTCCCCGAACCAGAATTGCAGTCTGTCTCTTATTCAACTGGAATCATGGATCGAAAGAGGTCGTGGTGCCTGTTGGGGCAAAACCACGCACCCTATTATGAGGCGAACACTAAAGTTAACGTATGCACACACCAGTGTATCCCTCTTTCGTTTCGAATGCAGTTGCTTGCAGCTGTTCGCCGAGCAGTTCAAGTATCTGACTTGTAATCCAAATATCATCGTTTCTAACCTGACTAGGTGCGAGCAACTTCGCGGTTTTTCTGGCGCGTACACTACTGGTGCTCACGTGGCGGAAAAACATCGGCACGAGATACCGGCGAATTGATGCTAGCCTTCAGTTGGTGCTCAAATTGGTCACCATCCAACAAGTTATGCAGCCCATCAAACCATGACTCAAACTAGAGCCCGGTCCTTAAACTCGATGCATCTGACATACCACTGCTTTTGCTGAACATGTTCACGTTGTCGCTAAAATTTCATTACTTTCGGGATCAGTGAAAAACATCGTTTATTGTCCCTCGTCATGAAAAGGGGCTCAAACAGAACTCCATTAACTATTGACCTACCCACCACACTCATCATTGCTAGATTACTCGAAAAATAAAGTAAAGGTGGAATCATTAAGTTTATCCATCGTTTTGGACTACTTAACAAATCCCATCATGGGTTCCTCGATAAATGTTGCTGTACAATTTGTCAGCTCCATTACCTGGATTATACCATAGAATTCGTTGACTCCAGTTATACAATTATACTTCTGTTCCTGGATATGTAGAACACATTCGACGGGTACTGAAAAGGACCGAATCATTTGGAATCAGAGGTCCATTACAGGGTCGGTTGACGTCACGCGCAAGTGGGCATTACCAGATAGTCACTGGGTAGTCATAACTCTTCCCCGCGTCCAGTCACTAGTGGTGTCATCCAAGGGAGTGTACTTGGTTCTTCCTTTTTGTTATATTTTCTTAACGATGTTCATCAAACATGGCAGACCATTTTTGTGCTCCAGTGATATTAAAAATTCTTATAAATTTCGATGAGATGAACTCTAAGAAGACCTCGGTGCACCTGAGAAATGGTGCCACACATGGATGCTAAATTTCTCAGCAAGTAACCCATGCATCCTGTCACACGGATATTTGATTCCTGAAGAGTGTCAGACTGAGCTATGAACGCATTTGTCTGACTGTGGCTTCGGCATACGTTACTCTTCGAATTTCAATTTCCCAGAGCAAGCTGAGTATCAAATAGCTCGCGCCAAACGATCTATGGCTAACTAATGCCATAAAATCCATACGGTCCCTGCCAAAATTGAGCTTTTCAAAATGCACTTCCTGCTCTTAAATACTGCAGCATCATTTATGTGAATATGCGTATGGGTGACAGAAAAGCTCTGAAAAAGCTGCAAAGGTCATCCAGTAAACGCTTGTTCAGTAAATTGTCCATCTTGAGCTGTCAGGATCTTTGCGAGCAGCTTAGCGTCGAGCCACCGGCTGAGACACAACCTGATGCATTTTTCCAATCTCGTAAACCAAATAACACTCCAATCTATGCACATTAGAATTGCAACATAACTTCACCCCGAAGCCACGCAACAAGACTTGTACACTAACTGTTTCGATCCGACTTCTTCCTCATCAGGTACGCTATCGTGTGGAACACGCTACCAGCCACTGTTAGACCTTGCACAAATGCAATAACATTCTGCCTTTAAACTTAATAGTTTCTTGGGCGAAAAATCCATAATGACACGTTTCCGTTGGGTAAATCACTGTATGGGTTTTCCCATGATGGACCAATGGATATATATAAACAATGCGATAAGGTGTTACACAAAACTCAGCAGTAACCAAACTTGTGTCCCAGAGTGTGTTGATGACACACGCAGGACCTCGACTACCTAACGCGGTGGTCTGCAGAAGTCGACCTACTGGTCAACCCGGCCAAGTCCTCGTTTATGAGCCTGGGGAGGGGCGGTGATGGGTATGCGTACACCCTGGCCGGCCACCCGCTGCATCCCACCAGTTCCGTAAAGGTTCTTGACCTACTGTCGCGCTGTGATCTGAAGTCTGTCGATAACACGAACTGGCTGTACGCAAGCTGACTACGCAGCTTCTACACTTGGTCTGAAGAGATTACCACCCGTCTGCTCTTTTCTATGCTCACCCGCCTATTGTCCGTTCACTATGGGTGAGGTGCAGAGAGTGGAACGGGTCCGGCATGTAGCTACTCGGCTCATCCGCAATTTACCTGTTGGGTGTAATAGATTTGCGCGGACCTGGCCGCGTTCGTTTGGACGAAAGTTACCTGAGCACGGCCCCTATTCTCACGCGCGTATTCGAGTGACACGCTGAGCTCTCGAAAACGGAGAACGATATGCACACGACCGGGAGACTAGACGCACGAGACTTAGACGCACACAAAACACTCGGTTAGAGTGGTGCTCACGATCACGTGACTACACGATTCCCAATCACCCGCAAGAGGAGACAAGAGAAGACGAAGCGGAACTCTGCGAATTCTTTTACTACCCACAAAGGCCGAATCACAGTTGGCACATTGCTTCATTTTGTTGGTGAAATTAATCACCACGTAGGGCTGGTGGTTTACGAAAGAACATTGTTCACTTTAGCCTAGTTGTTCCCCCATTCCGAGTGGTTGGATTCTGTCGTGTTGTGGGCTGGAATTGAACTCTGCGTCTCGCAGCCCACGCGCTAGATTTTGTGTTGCATTTTTGCTGGGATACTACGTACTCGCAACAGTATGTCTTACAAGAACCGACGTGGGAGACTAGGGCTGTTTACCTTGTCATATCGTCCGCTTTGCGTTGTCTCCTAATGACGCACCGGATATTGCGCCTGGGCCACTCCCCTATGTTGAGGCCACCGCTTCACGTTCGCCCACCAAGCAGCGCACGCGAACACCAGTACACACTAGTAGTAGCGGATTTAAAGCTCCGCTCACCCTCTGTTCTTCGAACGTCGTGAAATGTTGGAACAAATTGCCGGAGATGCTAGTGGAGGAGAAGTCGGTGTCGGAATTCAAGAGATTTCTTGATGCCCACTTTGCGAATAACAGGTATAGGGAGCGTATCGCACCCAGATAAGATGTGGTGCAGCTGCAGTATGCTGCCACCGCACAGAAATCGGCGACGTGGTTCCGCGCATGTGCCCCATCCACCTACGGTGGAGCAACACAGGTTTTTCTCCTCTCGCTCTCTGTTCTCAGTATTCAATATACATTGTCCTAGAATACATATCTCACCCATACATGAGCATGATCATTATTGTACTGATGATCTGTCTCTAATTCTGGGACAGCTTCTCGCACAATCAAGAAATATGCGTATTATTATTACCATCAGTATATTCCCTTGACCGGTGAGCGTAATAGCTACTCTGCAAAAATTGATAGCGAAAGCATCTGCTTGACGCACGAATTTACTGTCATCTGTTCTGCAAATTTTCAAATCTGTCCGTGGCATGGTTCATTTCTCTGCTTGGTATTTGTGGTTTCTTTTTTTGGTTGTAAACTGACCGTTTACTGAAGTCTTCCTTCTTTTGTAGATGATGAAGATGGCGAGTTGGATACCGAACAATTTGCCGATAACTAATGCCTTTATTGTTACTACGCTTGCACATTTGTACCGTCTTCATTAAGTATGGTTTTGTTTCTGAATCACTGTACAAATGAACCGGTTGTTTACCCTATCGTCTTATGAGTCGTTCTCTTAGGCGTTGTGAGCAACTCCTGTCAATGGCTAGGAATCAACTAACTCGGGTTTTTGGTTCTGGTAGGATTGCGGCAGTAACTGTTCTATGAAAAGTCCCATCTCATAGCTCGTTATTGTATTCCCATTGTTTTAAGGTCACGTATTTGATCCAAACATTTTAGCTAAGGACGCCGGTCGTTCTCTTGTCTTCGTTGTGACTCCTTGGCAATGTCCCATACTGCACGCAAAACGGACTTTCTTCTTCAACGTCAGCTTTCAAGCCCTGACTTCCGCTGTTTTTGGAACTTGCGCTCCGACTTTTGTTTGCCGCTGATTCTCCTTCACTTCGCCCAGAACTGCAATCATCCACTTGTTTAGAGACCGAACACTTGTTGCAACCCACTTTGGGATAAGAATATTAGGATGCCCTGCATACCAATCTCAAGAATCACTCGTAACCGGCACCCGCTTCTAACTAGCCCGTTTCTCTCTTCTGAAGCAATCTTCCGTCAGTCTCATGTAATAGGCAGAATATTCTTTCTTGTTGAGCAACTATTTTTCTAATTATTTCCGCCGTTTTTTGAATCTGATCGCTTGGCACTCATGTGGTGTGGGTGAAATCATTCCTAGTTTAATTTGCATGTTGTCCAGATTTCGAAATTCGAAACTTTCTTACCTCTCTCAATCGTTTCCGCCAACTTTGTCCGGAGTTTTCCGCACACTTGCTACTTGTGGATGATGTCGAGGTGTTTTGCATGGATTTGGTTCACTTATTAAACTGTAGACTGGTGCAAACTGACACAAGCGTGATTCAATGTGTTTTCCAAGGCAACAATAAGAGAACTCCAATATGAGACAGCAGAATGTCTTCTCCTGGAACTCGAGGTGGTTCTAGGAGAGTTCCCGGGCTGAACCTGCCCTGATGGATTGGATCCCACTCAACAGCCGGATGTGTGCCGTTTAATTAGCTGGTTCGTTACAGGCTTCGAAGTCTCGCGGGGACAAACGGTGCCTGTATGTCATCGCAGCCTACGCTTCCACAAACTGCAGCACTGGTCCCGTGAAAGATGCTTTATATCACCAACATGACAATCTCCATCGTCACAGATGATGCACAGATACTCTGGTGCTAGCTGGTGATCTAAATGCGCAAGTCGGAAACTTGTCCTCCAGCTTCATCTGGGCGGCCAACGTGGTGTTAGCTCCCATAATGATAACGGTGAACGGTTGCCACACCTGTGTGAAGATGCTCGTCTCTCTCGCGAGCACTAGCTTTTCACACAGCACCCGCAGAAGAGTGACTGGGCGCCCACCAAACATAGACGCAAATCGATCGTATCGCGATAAGTTACTGCTGAGGTGGCTGTGTTCAAAACTCGCTTATTTTGGAACATGCATGTGGACTCCGATCACGCTCTTGTGTGTGCCGACCGGGTGCATTCCGGCGGACGTCCGCAAAGTCGCTGTAAGCGCATTGGCACCAACCAGCTGGCGAAGCCAGGTATTCTGAATGCGTATCAAAGTACGCTGGCATCCGGGCTGGATAACCGCCTGCTGAACACCGTCGCAGCTCACTGGTTGCATATTTACTAATGGTTACTGTCAGTAGGCACGCGTACATGTAGCAAATTGAATTGCCCACCTGGAACTTTTGGGTGCTCGCCGACGTATTCCGGTTAGAAGCGAATACTTGAGACTTGCAAAATCCTCAGGGCAAGACTGCCTGTTAGTCTGAAGAGAGACCGCGAAGCCTAGTGGTCTCATCGTATATCAGGGATGGAAACAGACGCTGCCGTTGGTATTCATCGAAAGATATTCCGCCTGTTGCGGGAAGCAAGCAGCAGGGGACCTGGTGTCAGGCAGTCAGTGCGTGTACAGCCCAGAAGAAAGCTCGGGGCGTTGGGCTGAACACTGTGAGGCAGTTTGACCAATCTGAGTTATCGCTTTCTTTTTCGGACATTGAGTGCCCTTCCTCCTAGGTTGTCTCCTTGGATCCACTCTCATGTGCAGAACTCGAACGTGAGGTCAGCCTGTTGAAATTGCATAAGGCCCTAGGGGCAGGTAGAAGTCCCCCAGCACTCTTAAAATTCGGAAACTTGGTCTTGTACAGGGTGTTTTACTAATCTGGTCCAGAGCTGAGAGCGGCTGCACTCAGCTGCTGACCTACACCGGTACGCTGAATTGCTGACTGTCCAACTGCGCAAATTGCTTTGCCGGCAGGGGTGAGATGCGACATGTGTGCCTACGATCGCAGGGCACACCGAGCCGTTCGGCTGTGACAGATGAACGTTAGCAAACACCACAACCGAAATCGACTTGTCAAGCGTGGGTCGCAGGGAAAGACCAAGGGAACGCACGCCGTTCGGCTGTGCGTACCGAACGTTAACCAGACACTGTAGCCGCAATGAATGCCTCATGCCTCGACCGCATGGCAAACCAAGGGAACGCACGCCGTTCGGTTGTGAGCAGTGAACGTTAGCAAACAACCCAGCCTAAATTGATCTGTCATGCGTGGATCGCAGGGCAAGACCATGCGAATGCATGCCGAACGGCTGTGAGAACTGGACGTGAGCTAGACACTACCGCTGCAGTGAACGTGTCATGCTTCGATCGATCGGTAGTTGGCCTTCACTCAAGTGGAAATGCAGCAAAAGGGTTCCTGTGAAGTGGTTAGTGGGTCGCTGTGCTAGCAACTAAGAAAAGCAGCTTGGCCGTATGTGCTGACCAGTCGATGGGCGTCGTATTGCTATCGCCACAAAAGCTGTATCCCCTCATGACTGGCTTCCAACAAACGTAAGCTTTTAGTAGGCTGCTTTCGCCTCTAAAGGCAATCATACTGCCTGGAGCCCATTGTAAGGTTACAGTGTTGTTCGCTTTGCCGTTTCGATCGCGCGTGTTACAGCTGAAAATACACCCTTCATTGGTGCATGAAAACGAATTCATGCTTTCACTTGACAATGCTCTTAGATTTCAGTGTGTTCCGCCGCACTGGAGGCACCATTAGACAGCACACCAATTTATGAATGAAACTATTGCCCTCACAGTTGGACAATTGCTAGTTATGTAGGTTGATCAGGATTTGGATGGTGTATATCGTGTAAAGTGATGAATAACATTTATTCCTTTATTTACTTATTTTTACATGTAATGTGTAAAATGTTTATAAATATCAACGAATTAGATGTTTGCAACCTTAACCAAAGCGGACGGACTCGCGTCGTCACGGATGAAGTATCAGATTGCACGGTTGCGCACGAGGTATGTAGTAACGGCCACGTCCGTATTCCGCAACTCGCGCAACATTACGAAACCACACCGTATGCTGTGCGGTACGGTGCACTGTAGGCGCAGTTTTTGAGCACACACTGAATTCGCCTGTTTGTTTTTCAGCGGTCTGGACATGCATTCCATATTGTTCACCGATTTGGCAGTGTCCCCTCTGCATGGTGAAGCTACGCAACATGTTTGGGCAACAATCAAAACACGGAAATATAGCACTTCACATATGAAACATAGCGCAAAGTTCATGGCCTGGGCTGCGTTACCTGGTCGAAAAATCATTAGGCCTTTTTTCCAGGAGTATTTTCGGTTGATTATTGTCTAACAGTACCAATGTCTGACTTTTATTGCATCCCCTCCAGAAACATCCGGCAACTGCTCCCCTTTAGCAAAAACGACAGAGGGCATTTCGAACATATAATTCGTCGATATTTACAGACATGTCACACCTTTCATGTAAATATAAGTAAATAAATGTAAATTCCTTAGTGTTCACGATGTACACCATCGAAGACCAGATCAGTTTGTACAACTAGGAATTGTCTGACGGTAGGAGCAATAGATGCAAAGTTGGTGTGTTGTCTACGTGTCTAAGAGATCCATTTGTCCAGTCGAGTTGAAACTCTCACCTCCATTGTTCCTCCACGGCACCTTATCATAGACAGCCCATTTCCCTTTACATGTGCCAGAATCCCGGTTGCCTGTTTTACCCACCCCTTGAACTGATAAACCATTCGACTTTGTTCATCTAGCTTCTCTCTATGGTTACTCTAACCCGCCTCATTCATTTTGGTTTTCACACCCTTCATCGTTTGATGTGCTAATTATCGATAACCCATCGTAGACCCCTGACAGACCCTCCGCCAATCAATTGTTTCGAACCTGTCTATCTGTTCACATCCAATCGACCTTCCGAGCTATGCTATTGGTGTATTTTGCCCTATCAATCATTACTGCATCAGGCGGGGTTGACCGCTCGGCATATGTCTACGTTCAGATAGTCAATTGGTGTATTGGTTTGCTTCGAAGCGGTGCTGCTCGGTTACGGCTTCGCCCACATTTTTGCATTTTATGCTCGTCTTTGCTCGGCTTTTGGATCGGTATTCTGCGGTACCTACCGAAATTTTTATTGCGTTTGTGTGTAAATATAAACCATTTGTGGTTTGTCACTTTTGGCATTTATATTATTCAATAGCCCCACAGTTACACTGGCGTTGAGTTTTTGACTTACCCCGGGGATTACGGTTCCGTTCCGGTCTTAAATTTGGACAATCGGTGACTGCGTACATCGCTCAAGGTTTCTAAGCGTTTTGACGCTTACAATGCTCAAACTTACTTGATTGGAGAACCGCGTTTCAGCCAACATTTGACTCGTGGCAACTTTGGATTGGATTACAACTTGGATTTCACCATACCTGTGATGAGGAGGTCTGCGAATATCCTGGCATCTACTGAATACTCGCGGCAAGTCGAACCTTTGTCCATTGTTGATGATGCCCCAACTGATTTTCGATCGCATCTTAGTGTTATACGTAAATCCAGTAGTTTCGCATAAGGCGTTAATAGCCCTTAGGCTAGCCGAACTCAAAAAATTGCTGGCTCAAGTCGAGTTTGAGATACGAAACCGCAACTAGATCTCGGGAAATAGTTCGGTGTTTGGTAACTGTCCGATTCTAGATGTAAGCAGATGAACCGATTCCTGGAGGATTGTCAAAAGTG